TGAATGAAGCTATTTTATTTGTTCCATGATAAGGTATTCTAGAAAGTGAGAAAGTGAAAAATATTACACAAATGAGAATGTCAATCACGACTTTTTCAGTAGCGAAAGTCCTTATAATATTTTGTACCTATCATAAGTTGAAATGTGAAATGTAACACATATATATTTCTCTATCAATCCTGAAGGTAAATGTAGTTACCTAATTGGTGATGGTAATATTCCAAATAAATACTATTCAAGTTTGGTACTAATTGATTAATTTCAAAATTAATTCTTGTTTTCTTTATTATGCTTTATTGCACGAAAAATTCTATTATTTTATTAATAAAAAATTAGTTACATTATTACTTATATCTTAACGTAGAGATATTCTCCTTGTTTTTAGTATAAATGTGCTTATGAAGCATGAATATTTACAATAATATATATTCGTATTATATCATATACTACAAAAGTAAGTAAAAGCTCCGGAAGAGCTTATGTTTTGATTACTTGAAGTAACTAACTTATATATGAGCGAAAACAAATATTGTGACGTCACACTAAGTCATGGGTAAAATTTAGTACCAAAGTATGTAAAAGCTCTAGAAGAGCTAATGTTTTATGTGATATATTAGTACTATCTGTACACATAAAACTGTAAACCATAAGCTTACAAGATTTGATAATTTGATAATTGGTTGGTCCGGTTAGACCATCCTGGATCTTGATGTGAAAAAAGTTCTTTGAGAATTCATGAGAACATCATATGAGAAGTCAAAGAACTCTTCAACTAAAAGAGTTATTATCCCATGTTTGTTCTTAAGGAGAATAGAACAATTGATCATCGCTTGTAAAAGAGTTGGCAAATCTCTTGAGATTTTATGGACGTGTATGCAGAACAATACATCAGTCATGTGGATCATTTGTGAATTTTATGAGTTTATGTATCAAATAGATGATCACATGTATTTTATCTCATCGCAACCCGATGTATGCGAGATTGGTTGCCTCACTAGCTATGGATACATTTTGATGGTGATCCAATCAAACATCACTTTGCTTAAGAGAACAAGCTGAGCCTTCTGGTCACTTGTCGAGGACATGCTAGTTGGCAAGTGATAGTATTGGTTCGCATCTAACCAACAAGTTATCATAAGTTTTCCCCCTTTTACAAATGGTTTCGGTCAGAAACCTAACATATGAGAATATCAGGGTGTGCCGCATACACCCCAATTGCTCCACCACAGTATCTTAAGTTGATTCTCGTTGAAAATTGAGAATTTTTGTTGGGTATGAATCCCAAATGGGAGATTTGTTTGCGAAATTATTGTTTTGATAAAACACTTTTCCAGCATTAAGGGGGTGAGAAAAAATAGCTAGACAAAGAGATGAGTTGGAATGAGTTATCATTATCTAGTTTTGATCCTCAAAGTAAGGAACATGAACCTGAAGTTCATAAGATGAATTATCATTACCAACTATCAAATGCCTTTATTGGCCATATAAAGTGACCAAGTCAAATATACTAGCTGTGAATGCTCCAACTAAATTTGATATCCATGTTGGATACTCTAATATAATAAATGTGTCTAAAAGAGCGCATCAAGCGTGATAGACCAATCGGTTCCAATGATAAACATCATCGAGAAAGAAAAGAAGTTGTAATTAGAATGGTCAACTCGAGGACATGAAAACTCAAGAAGAGTAACCAAGAATAAAGTATAATTTTAGTTCCAGAAGAACACATGTCTCTGAAAGTTGTGAAAGCGAAGAGATCTCAAAAACATATTAGACTACAATACTGGGACCGTAATGAAGTCATTGTCGACAAAATTTGTTTGTTGTACTTCAGTACTAAATATGATATATACAAGTGAGGATCAAGAGTAAAACTCTATTGATGCATTCAAATGATGATGTTATTGGCCAATATAGAAAGAAATCACGAAACTTGCTCAAAGAGCATAAAGTCTTGAGGACCAGAAGTCCTTACACCTGAAAAGGGTAAAAATAGCGGGATACAAACAAATTTTTGTGTTATTGGAAAGTATGAAATTGTGAGAGATATCGCACAAATTTTTGCAATGGGTTTCTCGAAGATACCTATCATTGTTTAAGAGGAGTTATGCTCCCCTGTGGTGGATGCAACTACTTTTTCAAATCAATGTTTGAAAATTGTTGCGATAACCTATTTATTTGAATTCCCTGAAGATGTTATATATATTTGAAACTCCCATAATGATTAATTACTCCTAGAAGGATTAATTTACCTGAAGTAAACAAGTAAATTTCTCGAGAACATATATCGATAGACTAAGAATATCCTTTCTATGGGTTGAGACAATATAGACGAATGTGAAATACTCGTCTAAGTGAACACCTACAACAGTAGGGTGAATGGACCTTAAAAGGTTAAATCTGGATAGATTGCATTAGAGCATTTGCATTGTGCATATATAGTTGTGTTGTCTGTATGTGCTTCAAGGATTTTAAATTGTTGGTTTATGTGTTGTGTTTACTTTAAAGTATGATTTTTGTTTTGTGAGTGTTCTTTGTCGAGTTCATATTGTTTCTATGATGTGAGTTTTGTTATTATCTTTTGTGATATGAAAGAATTGCTTGCATCAATTCTTTGTGGCGATCTCATATTATGTTGATGATATGAATATTATTGGAGCTCCTGAAGAGCTTCCTAAAGCAGTTGAATGTTTAGAGACATAAGTTAAATTGAAGGATTTAAAGTCCTTTTTTTGGGCAAGGAAGGTAATGTTGAAAAAGTGGAAAAGTAATTTTGCATGAACAAATTATGTTCATCAAATAACACTAGGATCCTAAGATCACTAGAAGTGACCAAAGATCCTATTAGGCATCAAGAAAGAAGTAAAACATTAAGTCCTGAAGTACTATATGTTGATGTACAAGGTCCTGAAGTACCATATGTTGATGCATTAGAGCTCCATACAAAATATCATTTTGGTGTTGATAATATTAGCAAAATACAATGTTTCCCACAATGGAACGTTGAAAATACTTTGTTACCTTCAGGAACAATATATGTGATTGTTCTATTATGGTATTGTCAAAGAGATATTTGGTGAACTATATATCCAAATCCTATATAACATTTGATCCTCATATTGGTTGATCGGAGACGAGCTATCTCGTACATATGGTGATATAACTGTTTCATAGAGAAACAAAACAAACTATAATAGGCAAGTCCTGAATGTACTTCGTTACACTTTGTGATCCACCATATCTAAATGACTTGTGGTTGTGAACTATTTCCAAAAGAAATGATCTTGACGATCATGTACGAAGAAAATCTAAAGATCATGCATCAAATTGACAATATAGAAGATTGTTCACTAACTCACTCCCGACAACAATCTTTCTAAAATTTGTTCATTTGAGTTCAATGACTCAAAGATCTGAAGTGATGTGGTCATGAGGGGGAGCATATATGAGATAGCGTAATGCAATCGAGTGGTCATCAAAGGGAGAGTATTATGTAATTATTGATATATGGATGACCAATGACCTACCACATTAGATGCTCACTTGAGAGTTACATGTAACCCTTATTCCTACATCATTATCTCTTATTCATATGCATTGATATAAGGATGTAGTGGTTACCAAAGTGTGCCTATAAATAGAGCACACTATTGTATCAAAAGTGAAGAATGAATAAGGAGAACTCTTCCCCTCTCTTCTCTTATGTTTTTTTTTTTTGCCTGAGGTAGATATGCAATAGATAGGGAATTACAAAGAGTTGTAAAATAAATAGCGGTAATCAGCCAAGTGCTGATTTACCGATGCAAGAGCCGTTTTCGCCACGCAATGGGCAGCCCTGTTAGTTCTACGAGGAGAGTAAACAAAACAAATAACGCGAACGAAGCTTTCAGCAACCTAACTTCCTCCAGAAGTGCCCCACCCCGATTGTGCTGAACTTCATTCTCCGTTGCTCGCTGGATCACCAGTTGAGAATCGCCACAAAAACAACCAGATGAAAATCCCCGAAGTAAACACCATTCCATAGCATCTCTCAACGCTAAAAGTTCCAATAAGAATGGATCGAATAAGCCTTCATAATACTTACCGTGTGTATTTCCCTCTCTAATATTCTTTTGTAATTGTTTATATTTTCCATTAGTTTCATATCACTCAAAAGTCAAAACATATTCCGTGCCCTGAAAAGCAGAAGATGACAGAAGCCCACTAATGTATGGTCCGGGCCCAAATGTTGCTCCCAACAGCCCAAAATGATAACTCAAACCGGTCATCGGAGACAGGATGATTCCCTAACTTCCCATTAGGGATGGCAATCAAACCCATGGCTGCGGGTACCCGACCGCCCCCGACCCAGTCAACGCGGGTAATCCCCGCTTTGACCGAGTATGGGGCGGGTATGGGTAAAACCCGCAAAAAGTTTGATGGGTATGGGGCGGGTATGGTTTTAGCCTCCCCGCCCCATACACATACCCATATCCGCCCCACCAAGAGAATTACTTCACATATACAAAAACATGTGGATCAAATTGTAATCTATCAATGGTGATGAGGATAACTCAAGGAAATAAATAGTAGAAATGCAATTGAGTGACCACTTTAATCAAAACCTAATTCATTTCCCTCAACAAGATTATGTTAGTTAATTATTACTTAGTAGATATATAAGAGTTACAACATAATAATTTGAAAAATATTATACTCTATATTATGTATTAATGCATGTTTTAGGATCATATTCCTTGAACCATATTAAGAAAATGATCGTGTTTTGATGAATTCGTGATATAATAGGTACGTTTAGAGTTGTAGTTAAAACTTTTCTTGTGAATTTTTGGATAATAGTGTTTGATGTACGGGTACGGGTATTACCCATGGGTACCCGAAATCCACGAGTATGGGGATGGGTTTGCCGAACATTCTCCGGCATGGGTATGAGGCGGGTATGGATTAAGATATTTGAAGATGGGGATGAGATGGTTTAGACAAACCCGCTCCAAACCTGCCTCATTGCCATCCCTACTTCCCATCGGCTCACTAAACCCTTCTTCAACCCTTCCGACAGATTCCCCTGCTTCTTCCTTTTCCCCTTGTTTTCCCATCTATCTCCGGAGCCAAAACAACTCAAAACATTCGTCTTCATGAGGAACCTCCATCTCTTCAGCCGCGAGCCACCGTCTTCCACATTCGCCAAGTTTGCCGCCAAAATGTGCTGTACAGCCGCCGGTCAATTACTTCGATCTCTCTGCACAACCACTGCTGAGTGTTCTCCCAAATCCCAACAGCAAGACAGCGCAATCGATAGTGGTAAGACAGGGAAATGGTTCATTCTGCCACCGTTCAGTTCCACGGTGAACGGCACCGCTGCGGGGAAAGCACTATCCTCCGCAGCTACCGCCGGGAAAGCATCCACCGAAACCACGGCACTCAAATGGGTCCTCCGGTGCTGTCCTGAGCTCCCCAGAAACCTCGTGCAGAAGCTGTTCCGGTTAAGACAGGTTACTTCCCTTTCCCCGGCTACCTTGATTTTTGGGTCTAATTGATGTGAAGGAATCTGATTTTCGGAATTGTGAATTTTCGCTATTGGTAACAGGTCCGTAGAGAATCAGCTCAGGAGGGCCAGGTCAAAAGAGTAAGCATCCGATTTGTATTGGATTTGATCTGTTTTCTGGAGCTTGGTATGTTCTGAAAGTTTGAAGCTTTAAAATGTTGGAAGGTGACGGCTAAGGATTCAATGAATGTAGGGGACAAAATATTACTCCCTGGTTCAGTTAATGTATCGGTTACTGAGAAGGAGTTGCATTGCAGTGAAGAAGAAGTGGAGTTTATTCGTAGCCTTGTGCTGTATAAGGTTTTTGATTCGAACTTTACTTTCAAAATACTCTTGAGTTAATTGAATTCTTATGTAGAAATTGACGATTTGGACGGATGTAGGATCCAGCAATTATTGTAGTCAATAAGCCTCCAGGTCTGCCTGTTCAGGTGAATTACCAGATATATGTTCTTTCCTTGCTGTTTCTATGTGCTTTAGAAGCTGATGGACAACTTGTTTTATTCATTTCTCCATTTGTTTCTTGCTGAGTCTCACCTTTTGATGCATTAACCATCAGGGTGGCATTGGCATCAAGAGAAGCTTGGATGAATTATCTGCAACTTGTTTAAGTTACGACTACTCAGAGCCCCCACGTCTGGTGAGATTTTGATTTCAATTGCCTAAATCAACTCCTTTGGAAGTTTAGTTCATTGTTAGAGATTGTTCCTTGAACATTAGTGGACCCTAAAGGACATCACATGCTACTGGATCTATACTTTTGAACAACCATCACTGGATCTTTACTATTTATTGGTTGTAGGGTGCTAGGATTAAAGCACTGTACTGACATGATACAAGTCAAGTTACATTGACTTTCTCAGCAGTATCTTTTTGCAGCTTTTTACGTTGAGTAAGTGAAGCCTTAGCTTGGTGAATGTTTTTAGGTTCATAGACTAGACAGAGATAGCAGTGGGATACTGGTAATGGGAAGGACACAAGCAAGCACGACATTTCTGCATTCCATTTTCAGGGAGAAAACTTTTGCAGCACCAGACAAGGTGGAGAACTTACTATCTACGCGATGTATTCCCTTACCTTCAATTTTATTTTCATTACGAGTTGTCAAAGCATAGCAAATTGTTATCTCTCTTAATGATTGAAAAAGGCTGGGTTTTATCTTGAAGGATGCCGGTAGGAGAAGAAGAATCCTGCAAAGAAGGTACTGGGCGCTAGTCATTGGATCACCAAGACGTGCAAATGGGATCGTTTCAGCTCCCCTTGGAAAGGTTATAACATGATGCAGATAATAAGTTGTAACAGCCTTTTTATTTACTTGGTCCTTTAACTTGGAATGGATTTGGAATGTTAATCTTACCTTTTCCACCTTTACAGATGACAAATTTGCCTTGTTTCTAGCTCTTTTGTTCTTAGAATATATCATATACTACTCAAAATTCCATTGAATATCACCTCCATGCTTTACAATATGACCAAAATTTTAGGACTGACAACGTTGGGCTTGCAACTCACCATTCTAAATCTCAATTACGTTATGGTTTCAGGTGGTTTTGGATGATGGAAAATCTGACAGAGTAACAGTAATTGAAGATCCTGAAAACACTTCCTCTCAGCATGCCATAACACAATACAAAGTAATTAAAGCATCTTCTCATGGTTAGTATAATTTCTCGCGTCATTATATACTATATCAAGCGTATTACGAGAACTAGAGTTATCCAAAGTTCATTATATTACAGGCTCTTTGGCTTGAGTATCTGTTATTTGGTGCAGGCTATACTTGGTTAGAGCTTTGCCCTCTCACTGGAAGAAAGCATCAGGTATGCTTGCCGATTGAAATCTCATTATGTGTGTTACTGCATGGCTGTCTCATGGCTATTCCTTCACTTTTCGCTCAATTCACTTTATCCTTGCTCTTCTTTTCTTACCTCAGATTAGGGTACACTGTGCTGAAGTACTAGGAACTCCTCTAGTAGGGGATTTCAAGTATGGTTGGCAAGCTCATAGGAAACTGAAGCAGTTGTCACAGTGCAATCTCCAGAGTGACCGTAGTGGGGAACTTGTGGACAAGAAAAGGCTTCCATTGGGGCTTGATTTGGGAAATGGAAGTGTATCTGATAAAACTCCACGGTTACATCTCCACTGCAGGCAAATGGTTTTACCTGATGTGTTCCAGGCTTTGGAAGACATCGAAACACGTGGCGACTATGATTTCTCGCGGCTGAAAACCCTCAAATTCGATGCTCCTTTGCCTCGGTTTATGGACCAGAGTTGGAACATTTTGAGTTCCTGAAGAATTTAATGCAGGTGATATCATAGGGAATGAAAGAGGAGATGCTAAGTCACTCATGCTAGCTATATATTGGCTGCTATATCACGAAGAACACTTCGGTTAGGCCACTCCTTTGGTCGGGCTATTTGCAAATTGCAATGTCAGATCTTCTTGAGGGTTCGAAATGTCTTGTGTCAGAAGATATCTCCTCCCTGAAGTTGCTTGATGTTCTGGAAAGTATTGAACTTACTATCTTTGTGTTTCATATGATGTTATTCATTCACTCGTACTAGTGTCGGTATCGATACGCCAAGTTGGCTTGTCGATGAAAGACTTGACTGTTCTTCAGATCGATATCAGGTTCTGCAGAAACGGGGAGTCACCCTGCCCATCCTCGTCACTGTTACTAGTCATTCAGTCTTCCTGGATGACTCGTCAGAGACGTAGGACACACGGTACCACTAATGCTTTTGGGGAACCAAACAAAATTTGCTTGCCTGGAGAAGAGGCTGTTGACTTGAAGAATATTCAAACTTGCATACCGTAGTTTCCCCATAGTATGGAATCTAACCGCCACTCACGTAGAATTCACCTTCATATCCCAATGGACGTATGGCTAACCAATATTCGTTTGGTTTTGGTGATAGTTAAATCAATGCATTGTAATCAATGCATGCATAATAATATACATGTATATAATAAAATTGGTGTATTGTAGTTTACATCGTTTGGTTTATGTGATAATTATTGTAGTGTTTAAATAAATTATATTACTTTATGGGTTAAATGTCATTTTGACCCCTTGTTTTTTTATAAAAAGGCAACACACATAAAAAGGTAGGGACATAATTGGAAGAAGAAAAAATACAACAATCCCAATCAAACATTTTCAACAATCTCAACCAAACCTTGAGATTTAAATATCACTCATTTTGAGTGATAGTTTGTGTCACATCAAACAAAAAATGCATGTATTCTTTGTGCAGGAAATTCAAAAAAACGATGCATTGTAAACATTGCATGCATTGTAACTATCTCAATCAAATTATCACCAAAACCTAACGACCCCTTAAAGTCAAAATTCGGGTTTTGCGGGAAACTATCAAGCATGTCATTTTTATGAGATTTGGTCTCAAATTTCACATAATCATAACACGCGCTAGTGAGAAAATAAGAAATCTGAATGCGAGGAGTTAAAAATTTGAAGTTAAAGAACTATGACATTCGTAGTCGAGCAAGAGGGACATGTTTTCTTTAAAGAACTCTGAACATTCGTAGTCGAGCAAGAGCGCATGTTTTCTTTAATGAATAATTGATTTATTGAAGTGAAATAGAAGAGGCAGAAGGGATGTAAATGAGCCGAGCTGTTCGCGAGCGGCTCGACGTTCGATACGGGAAAAGCTCGTTCGAAATTCGGCTCGTTTATTAACGAGTCGAGCTTGAGCTTAGCATTCTGTAGTTCGTGAAGCTCGTGAGCTAGCTCGACTCGGTGGCTTGTTGAGCTCAACTCGTGAGCTGGCTCGTTAAGAGCTTATGAGATGTCTCAACTCTCAAGATTGTGCCTAGAGAGCCAACTCGATTACCGAGTTATGAGCGAATCTATCTATATGAGTTTGATTTTGATAATTCATAGGATTGTTAAATTATATATCTCACTCTATATGAAGTTTAACATGTAGATAATGTGAGCAAATATGTTTTTATTAATTTTAAAAAGCAATTATGTATCATATATTGCTTCGATACTGTGAAATAACATAATTTTCACAAATTAAAATTTATTAGCTAAATAATATGATACCACAAAGTATAACATAAAATTAGTTAATATTGAACACTTATCATGTATTACATGCAAAACGAATATATCAAATACGAGTCAAGATTTTATTAAGCAAGCTAGCTCGCAACTCGACTCGGCTCATTAATAAACGAGCTGAGCTCAAACTCGACTCATTTGTTAACGAGCCGAGCTCAAGCTAAGGAAAACTCGACTCGGCTCATTTGCAGCCCTAAGAAGCCAAAATTGCACCCTACAGGCTACATAGCATCATTAGTGGTAGGGATGATAATGGGTCGGTTTGGGCCGGGTTTTGTCAAACCTAAACCCAAATTCATGGGTTTATCCGTGAAAAAACCCGGGGTAAAATTCGTTGGGTTTGGAAAACTCAAACCCAACCCAACCCGGTGGGTATCCGCGGGTTCATGGCTACCCAGGGGTTTTTGTCGTAAAATATTTACAATAACAAGTTCCTATTAAAATAAAAGTCAAATATCAATCTCTCAATACAAGGACGGATGCGATGCGAAGATCTCCCCTGAAATCGGCATTAGATGTTGTCATTAAAGAAGTCATTGAAAATTAAAAATTAAAAACCCTACATAAAAACTCTTGCGACGGCAGTGACGAGCAGTTTAGAGGAGAATCAGCGACAGTGAACAAAGAGGTTTCAGGTAGAATAGAAGAATCAAGCTTCAAAGCGACAAGAGCCCCCGCATGTGAGTTTAACTGGCACTTCTCTTCTGCCGGCGATACTCCGCGTTTATGTCCAGTTGAATCCATTCAATTGCGTTGGCTTAACACGAGTTTTGTTGCGCTTTACAGGGTAGTGCTTTGCTGGGGAAGGGTCGTTTCACAATGTTAAATTTTCTAACACAAACTGGGTGGTCGATCTCCTCCGATCTGGGATGATGGAGGGGAAACCAAGTCAACGTTGACTCTAGTTCAGTGGTCAGCACGAGCTTGGTGCTAGAATCAGGGCATGCTTAGCTGTGCTCGAGATGTTTACTCGGATGCAGGAAAAGAATTTGAAGTTGTACTATTGCAATCGGGAACCAGTCGGTGGCCGGAGGTGGAATCGACGGTAGGCAAGAAGAGAAGGACCAAACGGGAGATGGAGTCAACGGCCGGAGGTGTAATCGAAGGGAGGGGGATTAGAATTTAGAAGATATTTGGTTTTTCATTTAATTAATGCCACGTCATCAAACTAACGGTCAAAGGGTTTAGTTGACTTCCACGTAGGATGGCTTTAACGGAATTGGACGGCTGGTGACTAACGGTGAAACAATTCGTAAAGTTAGTGGTGAATAAGAAAGAAAAGTAATTCGGATGGCAAACATGAAAGATTTGTATAATTTGAGTGACCAAACGTGTAATTTAGCCTATAAAACACCATTCTAGAAAATTCAAGCAAATCACAAATTAACCATACAAATTGTTCAACACCAATCTAGAATACTCAAGAAAATTGAAACAAATTATCATAAATTATCCATATAAAACATGATTAATTGAAAGCTTCTTCCTCCTTGTCAATTGACCTTCTTCACTCTCCACTCAATAATATCAACTTCATTCTACACAATTAGAAAGAAAAAAATTAGACATGTCTCCAAAAACATATAGAAGATTAGTTGCTTAGAATATTAAATATACCGAAAAAATTAATTATATGGTTGTTGGTGGGTATTCATGGGGCGGGTATACCTAAACCCAAACCTAACCCAACCCGAAGAATAGTGAACAGGTTTAAACCCGAACCCAACCCAAAATCCGTCAACACAAGTTTTACCCGCGTTGGCCGGATTGAATCGAGTAGCGTACCTATGAGTTCGGATTTTGTTGCCGTAGCCTAACTCGGGTAAACATCGAAAGAAACGAATGAGAGGTGCGACAAAAAAAACTTTTACATCACTACAGCTCTTATGGAATTCTCGTACGTGCCATCTGCATTAGATCTATTCACCTAATGAATTCCTCCTCTAATGCCTTATCATTTTCTTGTAGCCAATGCTCGCTGTTATGCTTTATGCTATAGATGATTGCCGAAATATACATCTCCAAGTCTTCGGATACTAGCGTGGGCCCCGACCATTTGGTCGGAGGAAGGTGAGATATGAAATTTGATAATGTAATGGGGTGTATAGCTTATTGTTGTATAGTTTTTTTTTTGGGAAACACGTGATAAAAATAGTGAATTTTAGTAGGAAAGAGACATGAATGATACAACGAATCAAAAATCAGCCTTATGAACCAAAATCAAGTACCTGTTACCTTGTGAAACAATATTGTTTCTGGTAATATGATGAGGTAGAGACAGTTTTATAGAAACCGAATTCCAGAAAATCGAATAAAAAATCGCCTATCTTGCCGGTTTTCGGGAAATGAGCATCTCACAATCGTTGCTAGCTTTTACTCGGGCCGTTGGCCGATTAATTTGCTTTATAAAACTTTCATCTTCTCATCATTGTGTTTTCTGGTTTTTTGCCAAACCATGATAAAATCTAAAGAAATCAAGAATGAACAACACGATTTGGAATAATAACCACCGTTCTTGTATCCTTAGAAAATGATGGTAAAAACGGACTCACCTGTCAAACTGATTTGGATTGAGATTTGTATTGGGTATCAGGGAACCATGTGATTATAAATTAGACTTGATTAAAACGGGTCAAAACTTGAAATTCAACCTGTTTGACCGACCCATGCCAAACTCTAATTATTCTTTACTTTTAAACAATCTATTTGAAATAAAAAAAATAATGAAAGAAAAGATATGACTGCAATTCGCCATTTTTTTTTCTTTTTCCGTTGAATCAGTTCAATTCGCCATTTGCACATCACTGATTCGGGAATAAAACTATAGAATTCGAAAGGAAACTGAAAAGGTTTAGGATCGTTTTAATGTTAAAAATAACCAAATAGATCTTTCTGTTTAGTTTTTTACTAACAAATACCAAATGATTCCCTATAATATACACTATAACTTAATCATTATGATATCAAATAATTACATAATATATATTTGAAATGATAAAATTGGACTAATTGGGTTGGTCGAGGTTGAACCGTTGAATAACTTTAAAATACATTATATTTTAGCCACTAAGATATAAAATAACAGCATAATATATATTATGCTAGAGAAAATAGCTTGTTTTAGAATGACAAACCCATGATGTTCATTTGTTTTACTTGATGGGCAAATCCCGTGTAGGCCAGACCCATTCAACTCTTTTATTTTATGATTAGCGGTTAGCCCATTAGAATTCATGCATTAGTTTATTGTTAATTTTTTTTTCTTTTTAGCAATAAAAAGAGCAGGGTTCAAGAAGGCGCGCCTAGGCGCACGCCTAGGCTCAATTAGGCGCTAGGCGGTGGAGGATCGCATTGACTTGGCCATAGGCGTTGTAAAAGGCGCTGGTAGCGTTTAGTAGGTAGGAATAGCGCTTAGTTTGCGCCTAGTGGAGAGAAGGCGTGCCTGGGCGAGCTTAGGCGGTTAAACCCAATACTCTTCGTTTTGTCCTAGAAAATCAGAAACTTGCCTCTTGCCCTAGAAATTCAGAAACACGGGAAGTAACATCTGTTGTCGCCTGCCGCCCTAGCTCTCGCCCCATCTGCTGCTGCCCTAGCTCTCGCCCCATTTGCTGCTCTCTGCCGCCGTAGGAGAAAGTCATTGATCACTCTTCTCGTCTTCACACCGCTCCGCTGCTATAGGGGGGAAATAAAGTTGAAACTCGTCAATTGCTGCTCATTCCTTCTCCTCGGTACGTAGCACAAGCTTCTTGCCTCTATAGGCACCTATTAGCAGATGATTGGTCACTATTTGCTTGTTATTTGTTATGTTAAGTGTTTATTGTTAAGAACTAGGCATTGCTAATTTTATATGCACTTGGATTATATGAATTATTCGAGAA